GGCCGACTGCCCGTTCGACTGCTGGTGCTGCTTTTAAATTAACGAAAAATCCTGCCACGTATTACATATTGCAAGTGTATCGAGCGCGACCGACTTTGTCTTTTTCACGGGCTAAGAACCAATTTGTCCAGATTCGCACGGGAGCAAATCGGTACGTGGAAGCCCGAGATCAAAAATCTTTGCTTTCTCGTTCCGGCATCTTTGGTTAGTGTCGTTGGTTTAGGCAAGAGTGGCGCTGATAGTTTGTGCATTTTCTTACATTTGAGCGAAATTCTACCTGTCAATCAGACCGTATTACTTGTATCCGGTAGCCAAGAGAAGGCGCCGAGGGTCAGTTCTTCGTTACGAGTTGATTTTTCAACAATGGACAACAAAAGGTTGTCCTCCCCGGGAATCGAAGCGGGACATTGTATTCTTTTCATGCTGAGTTGGGAAAGACGAAGCGTCTTCTCGCCCTGATATCTGTGACCGACCACGGTCGCAGAGGCGACGTTGACCGGTCATGACATTCCCTTATACAAGTACATTTGACACAAAGCAAGGCGCCACGCGTGGTATGTTATACTTGCATAAGCGAATTTACCCGCATGTCGCACCGAAAGACACCACCAATGGGACCCACATTTTCAAACGCGCAGCCATCTTGACATGGTAATGTCTATGAGCCTTCGTGACGACGACGACGCCGCGCCGTAGGACGCCACCACAAGCTCTCTCCTCGACCAGGCCCATGACGGCGACGCGTCGGCCCTCGCCTCGCTCCTCGCCGACGTCAAGCTCCACGGCCTCACGCCCGAGGTGCTGGCGCTTGCCGGCACGACGACGAGGCTACGTGTATATCCCTAGGTCGCGGGACCATCCCTCCTTGTCCTCGCAGCCCGCGCCGGGGACCTCGAAGCCGTCGATAGCTTGCTGGCGGTTGGTCTTGATGTCAACGCGATCGTGGCCCAGGTATGCTCGGATGCATATTCTCATGTGCTTATACTTGCGACGTAGGACACGACACCCCTCATCACAGCAGTGCAAAGCGGGCACACTGAGATTGTGCGATCGCTCTTACGTCACGGCGCCAGCCCGAATGTGGCGCCGCCCGTACGACGACTCGTTTCGTTGGCGCCCAACTCACGCTCGGGTAGAGCGGTGTCACAGCACTCCAAGAGGCCTGTCGGCACGGTCTCCCCGCCATTGCGACGGCATTGCTCGAGCATGGCGCCGACACGGAAGCCAGTGCCGACGTCCGTACACGCCATTGAACTGCCCGCATTTCATCAAATATGTGTAGGACGATGGCGTCACGGCGCTCTGCTACGTCTTTGACGCCAACGACGTCGAGAGTGCGCGCGTGTTGCATGCGTTTCACGCCAGCGCCAACGTTACGCTCTACGTAATCCTTTGCTATATGATTGTCTTTGGATCTGTAGACGGGTCACGCGTAGGGAATGCCGCTCTTTCTACTGGCCGTCGATGTGCACTCGGTCGACTTTACCACATTGCTCGTTGAAACCTACCAAGTTGATGTTGATCAAGTCGATCGGGTATACCTCACTATGTGGCATCGAGTGACCCTACCGTGATAGAACGGCAACACGGCGCTCATGCTCGCCACGCGCCGCGGCTGGGACGACCTTGTCACGTACCTGGCGCCGCGCTGCAATGTCAACGCCGTCGCTGCGGTAGGTGGCTCATACATGGCTTTCATCGTCAAAAACAATTCAATAGCACGGGTATTCGGCGGTTGCGATTGCTGCAGCGGCCGGCAACCTCAGCCTTGTCCACGCGCTCTACTCGGTGGGCGCGAACCTCGCGCCGTCCAAGCCCGTATGTATCGTATGCACTTGACGCGGTTGATGGACGTTGTAATAGGAGCACGAAGCCCCTCTCGAGGCCGCTTGCGCCCAAGGTCATTTGGACGTCGTCCGCTTCCTCGTCCAGCACGTCAACGATGTCGACCGTGTCAACGCCGTGCGTGCTTGAGATGCATATATAGCAGTATTAGGTTTATAAATGGGATTTGGAATAGGAAGGCACGACGGCGCTGTATGCAGCTGTCGCACATGGTGCCGCAGACATTGTCGCGTGCTTGCTACCGCGCGCCAACGTCGACCGCGTGCTTTCGGTCCTCGGGATCACCGCCATTCGTTCTGACATCTCCGTGTAGACCGGAGCGACCTATTTGTGTGCAGCCGCCTTTGATGGTCACACGGCGATCGTCGAGCAGCTGCTTGCGAGCGGCGCCGACCCGAGCCTTCCAGATGGGGTACGTATTTTTTGTTAAAAATTGCCCAACAATACACGACAACGTGTCGGTGGTGTAGGAAGGCAACACACCGCTTTTACATGCTGTCGCCCAGCACCACGTCGAGATTGTCGCGCTCCTTTTGCCCGTGCTCGACGTCGCTACCGTCAACATGCGCAACCGCGTACGAACCCTACCCCGCTTGAGAACCCTAACCCTCATTTTCATTTCGGGGTAGATTGGCGAGACGGCCGTGTTTCGTGCCCGGTCGAGCGCGGTGCTGCGACAGCTTTTGGCCGCGGGGGCCAATCCGCTGCTGTCGCGCTATGTACGTACCGCGTGTCTGCAGAAGCATCGAAAATGACTGCATAGGACGGCTGCTCGGTGCTTGGAAAAGCCATCACGCTCAAGAAGCCCAACATGGTGACGCTGCTTGTGCCCCTCGTCGACGTCAACGCACCGATCAAGCGCACGACGGCCTTGCGCTTGGCGGTTGAAACGCGGGATGAAGTTGTTGTCGCCCGGCTCCTCGATGCCGGCGCCAACGTCGATCAAGCTGCCGAGGTATTCCTTGCGATCCGCCATGTATCCCGTCTAACGTGATGGCAAGAATGGACGCACGGCGCTGCATCTCGCGGCACAGCTGGGCCCGGCAACGATGATGGAACGACTGCTTGCCCATACACAGTGCATTGACCAGACCTTCCCCGTACGAGCTCGCTGCGCGTCTGAAAATACGATGGATGGGACGTTTAGGGGGGCTCTACAGCCTTGTCGACTGCCATCGAGTTTGGCTCGCTCGATGTCATTCAGGCACTGCTTCGCCATGGCGCCAACGTCCACCATGTGAACGAGGTCCCTTTCCTGGAGCGAGCATGGTGGACTTGTGGCTTATCATTTTGATTGCATAGCACGGCGTGAGTGTTTTGCAGCTGGCCTGCGCCGTGGGCCGCCCCGATGTCGTACAGATCCTCTTGGGCGCAGGCGCTGACCTTGACGCCCATGACGCGGTACCCATTTTTACCTTATTTATTCACAATTTCACAACTTGACTATAGAACGGCTGGAACTGCTTCATCATGGCGGTCGACAAGGGTCAAGTCGACGTCGTGCGGCATCTCTTGCCACTCGTCAATTCGAATGAAGAGGTAGACACTGCACCTTACCCGACTCTGCGTTGAGCGCATCGTAGATTGTGTCTTCGTTTGCCCCCCGATTGGTGGCCTGCGATGGCGCCACGCCCAAGTTCTTTACGGTATACCAATGACAATATTCGTACACTCTTTGATGGACTGACGACCGCGTCTCTAGAACGGCTTCCGAGCGATTCACATTGCGTACGATGACCACGATGACCCGAGCATGTTGCGAGCGCTCATGGAGTCGCCCGCGCTCGAGATCAACGCCACAGATGCGGTATGTCAACATATGCAACTGACTGCAAAATGCCCATGCACGGTGACACAGCGACATGGTCTCTCGGCATTGCATTGCGCGTGTGCCATGGGTCTCATTTCGTCTGTCGGTCAGCTCCTCACGCATGCACACATTGACGTCAACCTGCAAGACAAGGTCCGGCGCGATTGAAACCGCCACTTGACATATAATGACTAGGAAGGCAACGCGGCGCTGCATTACGCGACTGTAAATGGTCATAGCAAGATCGTTGAGCTGCTAATCGATGTCAAAGGACCGTCCATTGATGCTTCGATGCCCAACCAGGTACGACGGAGCCAAGGTCCACGCCATAGCGAGCGATTTTGACATGTGTAGAGTGGGAAGACGGCGCTGATGCTTGCCGAGGACGAGGGACACGACACCATCGTCGCGCTGTTGCGCCAATGACCGATTCGTATTCAAACTGGACGGACAGCACTGCATATATAAATATAAAATCGCGTTTGAGCATTACACGTGATAGGGATAGGGTCCATACATCAAACCGTTGAATATGCAGCTCATCGCAAGCCACAGCTCCTCCGTAGCCATAAGAACTTGCACGCCTTTGATGGCCGCGTGCGTTGGTACACAGCCTCTCTCTAGCTCGAGAATGCGCCCAGAAAATATCACTGCGATTTGAGAAGGGTGCGATTTCGGATCGACAAGCCCCACGCGTGCCAAAGCAGTGCTTTGCGAAAATGAAACAAATATTGGAAAATGCTGGGAATATTTTCTACGGCCCACTACAAGTCGCTAGCGATGGACAGAGGTTCCACGTGCTGATTTGCGGCATCCCTGGGCACCAAGTGTTTTTTCAATGAATTGATTTGAATAAAATGGCATTTTCAAAACTGCGCTCGATGCACACATTCCACAACACTGGGATCATTTCAGTGGCCAACGGCTCGTGTGTCTTGCATTATGAAGGAACACGCGACCAGTTTCGGGCGAAATGCGAGGTACACATATGCACATGCCATTCTTGCCATTCGTCAAAAGATTTTCTTATCTGCCTCCTAGTTTGGCGCGGGCAGTCCCATGACACGTGCCAGCCCGCGGTGCACTTGCACTTGCCAAAGCCCCCCGTCACAACGCTCGCCGTCGGCCATGAGCAGGTTCTCTGCCGGCGTCTCGAGCTGAAAGGCCCTAAAATATATTGACAACACAGTGATATAAACATTCGAGCGTGTACCGCGTCTTGATGACTTGGACGGTCGGTTGATGGACGTGCTGGCCCTTCTCGATGCCGAGCATCATGCTCGCATACTCGGTGCGCGACGCCTTGCCTTGCATGAGCACAATGTGAAAGTAGCCGTCGTCGAGGCGCGCAGTGGGCGCGATCTTGGCGTCGTTGGCCGCGTGCGACACGTTCATAGCCCAAAAGAGACTCATGTCGCCTTCGAGGGTCACCCACTCCGAGGGCACGGGCTCGCCAACAGCCGGCAAGAGCGCCGGTGCAACGTCCGCGTCGGCATACGGGATGTCATCTTCGTCCCTGCTCGGGAGGTATGAGAGCTTGCCGTGCCAGCTCTTGGACGCCAACAGCTTGACGATCGTCCCGACGAAAAACCGTTGGGCGCCAAAGAAGCGGTACTTTTCGCTGTCGTGGTCGATCTCGGCCATGAAGCCCCACGTGAGCGAGAGCAAGAGGTAGCTCGTCGTCGTCGCATTGCCTAGTACATATTACGTCATCAAATTTGACAGAAATGTGGCGGCAGCATACGCATGGTGGCCACGTCAAGGGGCTGCGGGGAGCCTTTGGCCGCGAGATACGTGGCACTCTCTGGCGTGCAGAGCTCGTTGGCGTCGTCGCAAATCGACTTGGCCAAGCCGTTGCCGGTACCGGCCGGCAGGATGGCGAGTGGCAGCTGGATCGCAGTCGCCCAGTCCTGACGGGCCATCAAGCCTTGGACAACTAGAAAGCAAGGCGCGATATGGACGCGATTCCGTAACCAATGCATTGCGCTGTACCTTCGTAGACAAAGCCGTCGCCGCCGACGACGACAAGGCAGTCGTAGCTTGATACGTCGAGGGTGCGTGCCACGTCCGTGGCGTGTTTCGGGCGGTCGGTCACGATCTTCTCGACGCGAATGTTGGCGAGGCCCAAGATGGCTTCGACCTTTTCGTAGATCTTCTCGCCCTTGCCCGTGCCGCCGACGGGGTTGATGAGCACAAGGAACGTCTACTTGGTCAGGAGCATATCAACATTGTCCTGGACGAGCATGATAGTCGTACGCGCTGCTTGGGCGGGTGCTGCATAATGGCGTCGAGTGACGGCGCAACGCCACCAAGCGGGCGGCTCGGACTGGCAAAGTACTGGATGATGCGCACCCACTTGTCGACTTCGAGCTGGTGAATGCCATTGTTGGCCTCGCCGCACGACGTCAAGACGACGTCGCGCAGCTTGCGCTTGCCGTTCTTGGTCTTTTCGACGACGTGGATGAGCAGTGGGAGGCTGGAGGTCGCGCCAATCGTGTCGTGGCCCGTGCTGGCGCCGAGCACGTCCGCCCAGAGCAGGCGCAGGACCGGCTTCTTGGCCATCGTGATCTCGAGCGCGTCCGCGGTCGCGGCGACGATGGCAGCATGGCGGCCGAGCGCAAAGGTCTCGCTGCCGCTGCTGAGGCTGGTCATGAGTCCGAGAATGACGTTGATGGCCCTGCTCCTGATTGGCCGTTTGCAACACTCTACGCGTATTTCAGCCAATCAAATGGCAGATTCGATGTTGCACATGGCTCACTTTGTAGCATCGGTGCTCACGTCCGCGCAGGTACTCGAGCCGTCTTGTGTATGCCAACGCTGTGTGTACAGCTGCTACGCGACCATTTCATAGTCCTTTTGCTATATAATCATGGCGTCTTGCCAGCGCACGGCGACGAGCTACTAGTACGTGCGAGAGCTACGTGCATGCCAATGGTTCTACCTCGAGTTGCGAGGTATCCTCGACGCCAATGACGTGCGTGCGGGTTGTGTGGGATTGTGTCAAGAACGTAAAGCATACATGAACTAGGAGCCGACGCAAAGGTAGCAAAAGGTGACCTCGACATCGCAGTGCAAGCCGTCCACTGATACAATACAAAACCACAGTACAGGGCCACAGCACTAAATTTGAAGGAAAAATCGACGCCGGATACGCTGCACGAACGATGATGGCCCGATGGAGCTGCCCGATGGGAGGACATGCTTGGCCATGCATCTCTGCCGAAGGTTAACATACCGGTACCGTCCTTTCTCACACATCCTTCTCCATCGTTCGTCATTCGACACGCTTCAGCGCTTCCTCGCCGTACACTGCATGCATAGTCGCATGGCTCGTCCAGCTGGTTCCATGCTTGCGGCCGCTTGCTCACGTCGCCATTTCATCCGGCTGTCCGCCCTAATGGGTTGGCGTTGAGAGCGACCAAGCTTGGCGCCAAATCGCCAAATCAGCGCCACATAGCCAATGTGACCAATCACGAAGCGTTGCTATCATGAGTTTTAGCCAATCGCTGTGCCAGGATTGGCATGCCCGGTGCGCTGGCCAGACAAGAAACGACCACCACGCGACGATAAACGACGACGACGACGCCCGAAGCAAGCGCCCGCGCACGACGACCACCGCAGCCGTCGGGCCCGCGCCGCTGCCAACGACGCTCCCATCGGTCTGCGAGATGCGCAGCTTTGGGTTGCAGGACAAGGCCGAGGCGGTGTCGACGGCGCGGGCGACGTGGGGCGCCGACATGACCAAGTGGCGCGAGGCTGCGTTCGAGCACATTGACACCAAGGAGAGCGCACAGCACATTCGCGCCCAGCAGCGCGCGTACCGTCGGCAACTCTTGCAGCCGCACCGTCCCTAAGTTATATGCATCTCGCTGGCAAAACCCATCGTATTGTGTTGTCTGTCTCTAGTCGTAGTCGTCGTCGTCGCTGGCGTAGTCAAAGACCGACTGCTTGATCGGGCCCTGCTTGGTAGCGGTGTTGGCGTGGCCATTGTCGGTGACCGACTCGGGCGGCGCGCCGTCAAACTTGAGCACCTTCTTGGTTGACAAAAAGTAGGCAAGAAAGTGAGTCGAAAACTCAGTCGTGCCACCCAGCTCGTCGAGGCCTTCGAGCATGTGCACGACGCTCTTGTTCTTGATGAGCGCGACGCACGGGATCATCCAAATGCCGAGCTTTTGCACGAGGTAGTCGGCCTTCTCGGCGTTCATGCGGCAAAACTTGGTCTCGAGATGCGACTCGGCGAGCGCGCGGAGGTGCTTGTCGAGGAGCGGGCAATGCGCGTTCGTCGCCGAGTAGAAGTGCAAGATGACGCACTCGCTCGCCTTGATGACGTCAAAGAACTCTTGCTGCGTTGAGAGCTCCGTGTACTCGCCATGCCCCGCGTCCTTCCACTTTTGCATCTGCGTCGCGGCCGCCTTGATCTGCTGCAGCCGGCGCTCGCGGAGCCGGTCCAGATCGTCCTCTTCCATCGTCTCGAGCTGCTTGATCTGCATGTCCAAGCGCGCTTCCTGCGCCTCGAGCGTCTCGAGGACGCGGTCCGAGACCGCGCTGAGCATCTGCTGCTGGACCGCGTTGGCGTTCATGTCAATGCTGCCACCAAACCAAATCTAGAAGCCCCTTCGTCGAAACGGGTTTAACGCATGCGTTTTTCGAAAAACGTGAGGGCTTGCTTTTAAATACAAAGTTCAAGTGATTTAAATACGAGGACTGAAATGACACTATAATACGACGATAACCATACACTAATTCGTACCGACGCTGCAAAGTGGGGAGGACCTGTACAAGGTAGTCGCTGCGCTTGCACTCGGTAAACGACCATGAGCAAAGCAGCACCAAGTAGTTTGTCAATGGAATGCAATGCAGCATCACTGATACAGGACTACAGCGCTGTCCACGGTGCGATGACCAGCGAGCCCATTTGTTTGTGGCATGTGCCATAAATAACTCGATATTGCCAGAAATAGCCACGTTTCGGCGCCCACAGGCGAGCGCAGGTCGCGCGATCGGCCAAATCACGTTTGAAAATGAAATCGCTCGTACTTACCACTGTGATAGAAGACACTTCGGAGAGCACGAAATGCTATGTGGCATCGCCGTGCGAGCTCTGCAGGCAGAGAAAATGACAAACGCCCTGCGCTCGATATCAACACTATTGAAGTGATGCATTCATAGTATGAACATGAAATACTATACGGCTGCTGCCGCCGAGCGTCGGCTTCAGCTCCTGCGCATCAAGCTGTTCCTTCGTAAGGCTTGGTTGACGCTGTCGTTGGCAGTGTGATGAGTGCTATCGCCATGGTAGAGCTACTTGCAGTACCCACAACGTCTTGGTGGTCGTTTCTATGCCCAGCACCAAGCACCCAACGACTACGACTTACTTGGCTCATGCACGATGCTCGTGCAGTTGATACACAGTCCAAGAGAACGAGTCGACGTGGTATATAGTACGTCTCTTACAAAGCCTTTTCGTTTTCATAGTCGATGAGACGCTGAATGAGATCGTTCTTCTGGCCCTGGATCGAGAGCCCCCGCTCCTTGAGCTTGTCCTTCAAGACGTTGGGCTTGAGCGCCTTGATCGCGCGCGCATCCAAGACGTCATCTGTGCATGCGCATGAGACACCACCAACATGTAGGCGTATCGTACCGTCATCGACCTTGGAGGTCTTGGACGCCTTCTTCTGCTTGGCCGCCTCGGCTAGCACAGCAATGAGCGCTTATGGCTAGTGTCGCATCTCGACGTACCTTCTTCCTCTTCCTTCTTGCGGCGCGCCGCGTCTTCTCGCCGCTTGCGCACTTCTTCGAGGCGCGAGAGATCCTTCTTGGCTTCCGCCTACAGGAGCAAGCGCGATATATAGTTTGGTCATGGCGCTGGACGACGCGTACCGTTTCGCCGGCCAAGTGGCGCTTCATGTAGGCGGCGGCCTTGGCTTCCTTCTCGATGGCTTCGCGCTCGCGGCGCGTGAGCTGCTGCGGCTCGGCGTCGCCGACCATGTCCTTGGCCTTCATGACCTTGTTGGACGCGTTCTGCAAGTTGGGGTTCTGCACTTGGATGAGCGACTGGACACCCTTGGGCTTGGGCGCACGGACAGCCTCGGCGGCCGGCTTCTCTTCCTCGGCCTCTTCAAAGACCACGTCGAGGTCGCCGTCGGCGCCGCCTTCCTCGTCCGAGCTGCCCTCTTCGTCGTCGTCACGGCGCGCCCGGCGCTTCTCCTGCTTGACTTCCTCGACCTTGTTGCGGGCCTCCATCTCCTCGAAGCTCGTGACGAACTTGCGGCTCCCGCCCTTGGCCGAGTTGCGCTTGGAGGACTTGGCCTTCTTGGCCGCTGCGTCGCCTTTACCACTCATGGTCGTAATTGAGATTTGAGCTTGACGCCAACGGGAAAAACCTCTTGAAATGGATCGCGCTCGCCGCCCTGCACCAATGAGCGGCCTCGAAAGACCTCTCAGAATGCATACTCGTTCGCCGCATATTCCCTTGTCGATGACCCGCACACATTCATTCACAGACAAGTAGTTATTGTCATGTCAACGACAATAATGTCCATAACGCGATAGACAAGCCTCTGTTGCATGCAGTATAGCTACTACAGGAAGGGTCCAGAATGGACTCGCCGTCACTTTCCGAAGAAACCAAGTCGTGGCATTCACTAAATTCGACTTTATGAAAATGTACACTGTGGTTTCAAAGAACGTTCTTTGTGGAAAGCAAGTCTAATGTTGCCTCGCGTGTTTGCAAGGGCGCCCAAAGTCGACTTACAAGCCGACAATCTTGGCGCCAGCAGCGAGGTAGACGTCGGTCTCGCGGGTCGCCGCTTGAAACGCAGGCCGCTGTGTTGCGGCGTCAAGGGCGGCCGCCAGTAGTGGACACGCATATAGCAACTCGACGCGTCGGTACGTGCGCAGAATGAGCGAGAAGCGAAAGAGGTACGGCACAAGAGCAATCTCGGCCTGGCTCAACCGGTCGCCGAGGAGGTACGGGCCACGGGATCGAAAGGCCGCTGCGTCCTCCTGGTAGATGCGCTCGAGGCCCGCGACGCCGGCGAACACTAGGGCCTTGAGCTCGTCGTCTTTGGTCGTGTCCTTGTTGCGAAGAAACGCAAAGATGGACGGGACAATGTCGAATTGGGCGACAACGAGGTTTGCGAGCGCCGCTGCCGCCGGGTCGTCAGCAACAAAGAGCTTGCCACCGTTGAACTTGGCGTCCAAGTACTGGGCGACAATCATCGACTCATACACGGTGACTCCGTCGTCGAGCAAGCAGGGCACCGACCGAAACCGGTTGAAATTGGCGATGTAGCTCGCCGGCATGGCGGCGTGAATGGGCACTTCAATGACGCGCGCCAGCGGCGCCTGCACCTCGGTGGCGGTCCAGAGCGCACGGTGCGCCAACGGACACACCGTGTTGTTGAAGAGCGTGAGGCCACGGCTCGTTTTGAGCGCTTCGAGCTCGTTGGCCGAGAGGGTATCGTAGTCGATGGACGCCACCATAGGAAATTCAAGAGTGGGTGAGTCCTTCCCGATCGAGGGACTGCCAAGTGAGAACTCGGGGATGTTCCTTCTGCCACTACGTCTCGACCGTGTTGTCGTAAGCACCGCGGACGGCCACCGCCTGTAGCATCATCCCGCCGAGATCCACGCCCTTCTATCCGGATCCGGATGACGATGGCGGTGCTGTGAGTGTGCCACGTCATTTTGGGCGATCAAGCGAAACGATGACATGCCTCATATAGAGATGTAGACGCGTGCGTCCACTAGCACGAACCAACACCATTCTTGCACACACGTCGCAAGGACCACCCAAGCTTTGGCACAGTATCATGATGAACTTTTGTTCTAGTGTCTGGGCCAATAGCACAAGACATCTATTCGGTTCAGTCGACGCGACGACGGTTATCCACTATCGTACTCTATCGAGCGGCGCGCTAGCGGCGCGCTCGGAGTTTGGTAAACGCGCGCAAGTACATTTCGGGCTCCCGCGTCACGCGCTGAAACGCAGGTCGCGCGGTCGCTGCCGCCAACGCGCCTGCGAGCGCTGGGTGCGACGCCAGCAGCTCCGTGTCGTGATAATGCTTGGCAATCAAGTTGAAGCGGAAGAGGAGCGGCAAGATCAAGATCTCGGCGAGGCTGAGCCGGTCCCCGAGCAAGTACGGCCCGCGGCTGCGGTACACAGCTGCCTCCTCAACATAGACCGTCTCGAGCTGCGACAAGCTCGAATGCATCTTGCGCTGCAGCGCATCCTTCTTGGACGCGTCAGCGTTGCGGAGGAACGCGAACGTCGGGGCGACATCAAAGACCGCGTTGGCGCGCTGGACGAGCGCCGCGCCGGCGCGGTCGTCGGTGGCGGCGAGGTGACCGTTGTTGAACGTCGCATCCATGTACATGGCAATGTCAACCGAGTCGTGCATGGGCCGACCATTCGCGAGCAAAAATGGCACCGACCCGTCGGGATTCAAGTGGCGCAGGTAGCTCATTGGCATACTGTCGAGACTCAACTCGAGCACGCGCACGGGGGCGTCGATTTCCGAGACGGTCCAGAGCGTGCGGTGCGCCCACGGACATACCAGCGCGACAAAAAGCGTCGTCTCGTTGCGCGACTTGAGTGCCTCGAGCGCCGCTGCCGAGAGCGACGTAAATGCAACCATAGGTAGCTTGCAGCCGCGAGGCATTTTGAACTCTGCTGGTA